ATATTTTAATTATTTTCTCGATAGGCAGAATATAAAAACCGTACTATTTCGTGACGACAAAGTACAAAAAGGAGCCCGACAGAGTTCACACTCGGGTTAAGGGGTAAGAAAGACACAATTTGTTTTACTGTAAATAAACGACCTAAGTTAACTACCATATATGGATGTGTTATTCATGCTTCATTTATAGACATCAACTTTTAGTCTAATAGAACCATTTCAAAAAATAACAATTGCATTTTCCATTTTTTAATCTACTATACATAAAATAATAGTTTTTGTTAAGCGACAGGTAGCACCATTAAAAAACAGCATAAATTAATTGTTAGATTCAACCAGTTAAACCACGTTATATCTTGCAAGCTAGGCCTTAGACCTTGCTTGTTCGGCGACAGGAAAAATTACTTTCGATCAGAAGGCCGGCTTTTTGTGGAAAATGTGCCGAATGGGACTTAGGGAAATTAGGAAAAAAACAGTTGAAGTATCAATAAACAGGCTGAAATGTTTGAAAAATTAAGCAATAACGTCCTGAAAAAAACTCATATCTGGTGAGCAGTGATAAGCAGTAAGCGTCGAGAACCTCATGTTTCAAAGTAATCGACGATCATATTAAATAGCTAGAAAACGAGAATGAAACATGGAAGGTTTATATTGCATCTCTTTCATTGTCTGTCTTTGAGATGCTAGATCAGACGGGAAGGATCATAGGTTGATTCGCTTTAAAGGCGCGGCCCCGTTAGGATATAACGAAGGAGCGTGTGCCATATGCTGTTAGTTATAAAACTCAGTTTTGTTAAAATAATCCACATTGAATACTCGAAAATTGCCCCATTTTAGTTTGATCGGCGACTGAGAACGATTAGGAACGATAGGAATCAAAGCTAATTTTTTTTTCCTTAAAGTAAATTCTTTTTTGGGCACATTCATTCGCATTAATTAACGCTGCGTCTCAGAAAAAGCAAATAGTCGTTAGTGAAATTGAAATTTAAGCATGCTCAGTTATATAAAGCCAAAGTGGTTAAGGTTGACGAAGTCAGTAAAAGACTCCGCATGCAAGATTTGTTCAAATTTGGTAAACCCTTGATATCAATGAGGCAGTTTTGAGAGAATACGTAGCGCAATTCCGCATGATTCGTATGGCCAAACATTAATAACAGTTTACCTTCAGTTTAACCTATGTTTCTGATAATTTTAAGGAGTACTGCTCTTCGGAAGCTGTATGCAATGCATTCTGTTACAGATACAAATATATTATACGCGCAGTCGGTGACAATGATAACTGAAGCTTTTCATAATAGATTTTGAGTCATAGGATGGCGAATCACATAGTATATTCACATAACAATGAAACACTCTGATTGTGCTTTCACGTGCACATATTTTTATTCAGCAATTTGTATAGACAAACACAGAACAAATTAGAACTACCGATAACAAACATGGACATCAAGACCAGTAATGAGAAAGATCTAACGCTTTCCAAATGGTCAATCAAAGATAAGTTCGGGATAGGTCCCCAATCGACTGGCCGCTGACAACCCACGAAGATGACCAGTTGGCTACAGCGAAAGTCTGGCCAACGGGGAACATGCTGGCGTTTACACAGCACTGTAAGGAGACTAACCTAATACAGGTAGGACTTGGTGGGGCAAATGTGGGAGGAGACTAATAAATGGAGTGGTTGGAGTTAATAGTGTGGAAAAGGGAGTTCATCGATCTGGACTTCTTTGGTTGAATCGAAGCGTTCGTTTTGTATAAGAGCTAGCGGCCCCCAGTATATTACAAGCATTCAGTAAAAAAGGCTGAGTTGTAAAAAGTAATTAACTTGAACAAGTACGATTTGTTTTCAGACTGACTCTATATATTATTTTGGGATTCCACATTGAATGCTTTAAAAAAAAAGCCTTTTTTTGCACTACTCAACAAACAGAATAAAATTTTAAGAGAAATATTTAGAAAAACCGGAGTATGTAATATTTAATAGTTGACATAAGCAGAGGTCACTCCTCAAGTAAAAAACAATTTCAGCCTGAACTAGGATATCACATAACATTTTTGCATTATCAGTAGAGCTCAATTTGACCAAAAACAGCTTCAATGTTTCTATATTATACTTGAAAGCCTACAAGGAATAAACGTATTGGTTTTATTTATTGATCACGTTGAAGGTTCACTTACATTGTTGGTACTGGACTCAAAGGACCGTTTTTGGGTGACGCAATATATCCAAACACCGTATCTCGAAAAAATAGGTAGCCATTAAAATGTGATCACATTACCAAACCGCAGACAAATAACAATTGAAAGTAAATTAGTTAACATATGTATTAAAACAAAAACAAAAAAACATAATATTTGTTGTTATTATAAGATTACCAATTTTCATATTATATATGCAGTTGAATTAGGATCGCGTTAATCTTTAGAAGCCTGCGGTCCGCAATATTTGTCTGCTCTTTTGATAAACTCAATGATAGAATCTAACACCTAGTATCAGTAGAAATGGATTCGATATCTTTGAAATCCCGTAATAAGAAAGACAAATTTTCCCTTTGTTTTAACTAATTAGGCACGAATTGCCATATACGTACATTCAAGCATATGTTCGATACTCGGTTAATGTGTTGCCTCCACTCTGATACTTCAAAAGGGCATAAACAGTATAAAGAAATCGTAATTTATAGCATTTATGGCTTTTGGCGATTTTTCCGCAGCACGACAAACATCAGTAAGAAAAACTTAGATTTGATTTTATTGACAGCCGATCTGTCGTTCTTATTTTGTATGAAGCTGAACATACAATATTTAGTAACGTACGAGTGCTCAATAGGACAAGAAACAATATAATTAAGTAATTTTTTTTTACCAAATTTGCATTTCAGGGACTTGATTCCACTAGCAAAAAAAATTATAAACGGTTATAGACGAGTGATATAAATTTTTATAGACGAATTACATACATTTACGGACAAATATAAACGAGCTGCTAATTCTAAACTATGAAATTAACTACATTCCAGGTAAACTATCATACTTCTTGCTCAGCACCGCATTGCTAAAATCGAAACCAGGATTTTCTATTTGAAATTTCTCAAGATCTAGTTTTTTCATCATTTCCATTAGCGTCATAGGGTCAGCCTTGAATTCGTCCTCCAAAAGCGAACTCCAAACGTCTTCACTCTTCGCCGATTGTGCCTTCACTAAAAGAACGGTCACCTGAAAAGAGAACATCTATAATTAGTCAACTGCTTTCGAGATAGCGAAATACATGCATCCGTGCTATCCGTTACGAATGACCAGACTATGGAGCAAATCGGCTTATGAATGTGCACGTTACAGTCAGGTCCGATTTATTTGGCAATGCGTAATCGTTATAAACAGCAATTTTGTAATTGCATAGACTTAATTGTAACACCCACACGTCACGATATCTTCAGTAACGTAGCGATTCAAATTAATAGCGATTAAGTTCAAGTCTTTATTAGAGACCACAACTGAGCCCACTTGCTTTTTAACCAGGTTTGGCTTGGAACATATAGTTCCAGTTATGGAATTTCAACCGTGAAGCGCACATATACAAGCAGTATATATATTCGTTGTATATATAAGTATATTCGTTGAAGCCATGCCTATGAGTGCAATGGTGATGGAGTAATTATGTTAATTACTTCAACAGGTTGCGCATTAATTGACAAGCTCTTTAATAGCAGGCAGTTACTTCATGGTCGATCCGAACTAAACTGAAACCTGGAAAAGACATTTCCTAAAGACGTCGCGATCTCGGATAATTATCTAGGTGGTAGCAGATGTTGCTTATGGTATATGATGGTATGTAATAAAAACTGTCTCTTTTAGAAGCAATAAACATAAAAACTTAGCTGGATGAAGACGCCTTTAGAGCTGCCCTAGTATGGTAGGTAATGTATTTCAAGTAGTAAATGATTCGGAAGCAAGATGGTGAAAAGCAAGACGAGGCGGTCATGTGTCAACATACCCTTGAGGCTTCCATAGCTTTAAGAACTGCCGTGTAGACGCGATATACAGTTTGTTTAGTCATTCACTGAAGGGGAAACTCAGAATTTTGACGTATATAACAGCAGCGGAAAAAACTTACTCAAAACTTATAAAATAAATGAAATATTCCTTCGGAGTATTGTTCAATGTACACGTGTGCAAGTAACGATAGTCAAAAACAGATGAAGCCAGGACTAGAATGTTTTCACACGGAAGTGACACACGATTAAGAAATCTAAAAGGACAACAAAACTAAAATAGTTATTAAATGCATATGTAAGATATAATAACATGCTCTAAGGCAAATGATTTACCAGCGCGTCTATAAAAATTCGTCTTTTGATCATGACATTTACGATGAAAATATTGGGCTAGAAACGATAAGTACAATGACGGAATATAGCGGGACCTGGCTGTCCTTGACGTAGATCGGGAAAAAACAATGAGAGTATCCCGGTTTGGGTGTGTGAGTCAAAATGTATATGATTAAGTTAATTAGAAATTAATTAAATTTATATAATCGACCATGATACATTACACATATCGAAGGCTATCTAGGTAATCATCGTTATATGAAAACCTATTCTTGAATCAAATTGTATATTTCGGGGGCCCAGCAGCTGCTCAGAATGAAGTGAAGCAAAAAAAATGCTGCTGCTACTGGACTCCTTCTTTCGACCTCATGGAGGTGAAAAGGGTATATGACTGTTTCTGACTTTTACCTGTCGTATGGCAACTCAAGTCCTGCAGCCCATAGTCATACCCCTGTTAAATTCCCCTTATGATCGTTGAACGCCCATTAGTGTAATTAGATCCATCTTTACAATTCGAGGTCTCCCTATTCTCTTAACGTAACAACTATTCGCAGAATGTATACGTCTTAGTATAGCACCAGACATAGTTTCCTTCTCGACGATTTTAACCTAAACGGCATACACCATCGTGCCCAATAATATTTGTGTTATTCAGCCGGTGCATCTAACAGATAACCGACTACTCGCACGTCACTAGCTGCCCTTGGATCTTACAGTCCTGTATTTACCAGAATCGTGTACCTGTGTATCGCCCCCGGCTTGATAGTCTCTGAGGCCAGCCTTAAGTAACCCAACAGAACCGGTTTCGATGCCCACGGCGACAACCTCGACCTTACTCCATCTAAATCCCATCAAAGTTTCTCTCCGCCTGTCGCCTACCAACAGTTATTACTGTTTTTTCGTTCTTAGGAGAAAATCCATTACCGCGCTACGTTGATCCCTTGGTTTACATCGAATAAAATTTCTTTTCTGAGTCTGATTTCGAATGCAGTACGCGAGAATTTAAGCGAGCCAAGTACTAAAAAAAGTTGTTAGAGCTCGGTAGCATTCAGCTCCATCACGCCTCCGGTTTCCAGGTTTCAGCGTTTTTCGCCACGTTCACGCCGAAGTTATTCTTTCCAGGTGTCTCCGCTATGCGGCACAATGGTGTATTGTCTGCTCTGTTTACCCGAGTTGCTTTTGCCTCTTTTCCATCAAGCGGTTTTAGTTGTGGCTACATTCACCTTAGATAGCTAGGTATAGCTGTGCAGCTAACCCAGTCTTACAAAAGTAAGCCATCGACACTAAGGCTCTCAGTAGTGACGAGGCGATACACTGTACATTTGCCCCGCTCAGCGTGATTTGGTGACAGGCGAGCTGGTTTAGAAGCGTGATGTTCTAGAAGGCCGTGAACGGTGTAGCCTGTAGAGTAGTATGTTTCAATACAATGAATCCATGTAGCACACGAAAAGTTATTTCAGTTGTTGTAGCGACAGTCAAAGGATAACTTCAGCAGATCTGGCACGTAGCGGTCTATTTTAATCGATCTACTCGTACAAATGTATGGTTAACCGACATTTGAGTGACATGCTCGTGCAGTGTTTTTCATAAAACAAAGATTGATCACTTTTTCAAAGTAGTACCACATAATACTGAGATTCTTGCGTCACTCTTCGCGATCATAGCTGGACGTGGGAAACAGCATTTGTAGCGGCTGTTTCATATATTGTATTATATTTAGTCAGCCAATTATTCTTGTTTTTGTCTTTAAGACTTCAGAACCATGAAAGTTCTCGCTGCAGGTATGCCGCCCCGAATTGATATCCTCTTTCAAAGACAATACATATGTGTTCTGATCTGGGAAAGCTCTACTACAGGCATCATACAATTTTGATTAATCTTTATTAAACTGTAAAATAAAAATTACAATTGAACATTATTTACCGTTGGCACCCACTTCCCAGAAGTGGGCTTCATTGTCGAACAGATAGGGGTGCCTAAATGCCTTGTTTCCCATAGAGTCGCAAGGTAATTGTAGTACTCATCAGAAAGAACGGTCCTTGAAGAACTTTGACTATACAAAAATATCTTCGGCAAAAGGATTCTGATGTAAGGTTAAGTGCTATCTATAGCGATACAACTCATGATAACCCTACTCGAAAGTTGGTATCTCAATAATAAAATGATTTTATTTCTAGCCTAATACTCCCACTCCTGCATCATATTCGAGGAACTCAGGGAGCAGTTGGTTATGCATGTGTTTTTCTGTGGTTGGACGGCCTTTTGCTTTAGCTGTTTGAACACTTGGGTAGTTAATAGCGGAAAACATCATTAATTGCCAACGTTCTATTGGCTAAACACACATCAATTGGTCTCCATCCCTAACAGTGATTAACAAACGCATTCTATGGCACGCAATTAACTATGGTAAGGCTGTTCTACTATAATAGTAGCAGAATAATATGTACGTACTGAAGTGGCATATCAGCATTTAATTTTTGATTATATTATTAATTATAATTATATTATTAATTATTACGGTTGAGCTACAAACAAATGAAAATTGTCCTAATCTCATATTAACCAGTCAAAAAGAGAGAAGCAACGATGACGGACTACCAACGAGTGCTGCATTTGCGTATTAAATGACGAAACAATACGCATCATCCGTCTCCTGTACAGACCATGCAACATCGCCATCATATAGCTAACGGATCCTGACATCCTTGACCTCCGTGATCCCCTTACCTTAAATGCGCGAACGATGCGAAATGGTTTTGTTCGAGATCACGCCAAGCTCGAAACGAAAATGGTGAAATTACTTGCTTGGTGCATCAGTTCACGTACACCTCATTCCACATTGGATGGCCCCAAAAGTTAACGTACCCTCCTTTCTCCAACCAGAAGAACCAAAGAGGCCGGTAGCTAAATCTAGCTAGCGTTTAATCTCACGTTGTGTCCTCGTACGAACTTTGCACCCTAATTCCCTTTTATGATCTCTGTCCCTTTCTCCACTGCGAACCTTCCCTCTATGGCTCAGTCACAATCTATCAGTGATCCTCAGTGTCCTCACTGAAGCTCACTACGTAGTTTCCTTGGGAGTTACGGCAGCTTCTCTTCGTCTATGGGCAGGTCCAACCTTTTTCTGCTGCTATTCACCATCGTTAATAGTAAGTAACACCACCATCGTCGTCATAGACAGTTATCATCATTTTCGCTTTGTTATATCCCCCTATTCCCTCTTCTCGCGTCTTGCTAGACCTCGTTTGATTCCTTCCTTTCGCCGGCTTGAGCAGCGTATTATTCCGGAGCTCGATGATGGCTAGCGCCCGACGAAACCAGCAAGCCATAACAGCGGCGAAAGGATGGATAAAGGATTTGCGAGTGACGACGCGCGTGCTGCCGCCGGGTCCGTTCCGTGATACCGGACGTTCAAGCGAAGGCATATCGTAATGCTGTTTTATTGCTCTTAATGCCGTTAGCACATTAATTAAAGTTTTGAAACTCAGTTCGCCTATTACAAAGACATTCAGCCAGATATGGTGTGCGTCAATGGAGACTACTGAGGAAGGGTTTTACTGAAACGATTAAATTAGTTACACCAGGCTACCGTGCGTTACCTGTGCGTCATTTATTTTTTTTTGCTAACAGCTACTTGGCCTCAACTGGGCCGCGCCCACATTTAGTCAGCAGTAACCCTGTGGCCTCATCGAAAGGGAAGAGTTTATTGTCGTTACTATCTAATATATTAATAATATATTATTAATTACTACCTAAAAAATGCTGGTTGGAAGACTGTGAGGCGATGTAGCTCTAATTTTTTTATCCCATTTAATTAGTCTGCCCTTTACACCTGGGTTGACCCTAACTGCATTGCAAGTTAGCCCATTCTAAACTAAACTATAATACGTCCTAACAGCAAACTATCGAAAATATAGTTCCCCACTTTCCAGCTGAATAAACCAATATGTAACTTGCCGCCAGGAAAATCACAATTTTTGTCGAGGTAAAAGTGACGGTTTTTACGACATAATTTCTCGAACTTAATAACAAAGTGTTTGACTGCTTAGTTCAATCTCCGAGGCAGCATGTAGAATTATCTGTAACCACATGCGACAACGTATATGTTCAATGGTATTTTAATTACAGAACCGCTAGTGTTCTTACTTTTTTTCGTAGTTATTTGTTTCTAGTTTCGTATCATCGTGTATGGGAGATTGTCTTATAAATACTGCACAGATGCTATTGTGCGTACATACGGTTTTTGTTTGGCATTTTGGCAGGAGTAGCATTCAGGCCAACAACAAGGTAAGATGGTTTCATTCATGCTGGTTTACTGAGGAAAGTCTGCGTAACAATTACTAACCTTGTCTCCATCCTCGATTGTCCAGGTGGACTCGCCTGGCCGAATAGGACGATGTAGACGACCACCTAAGATCTTCTTCCCATTACAAGAGACGTGCAGCTCTCTTGTCGTCATCCGCACATCCATTTGCTTGGCCCGCGTACCTGTATGAAACGCAGAAGAAGCCGACCGTAATTTCACCCGCATGCTCGCGAAACGAATCCGCCAAAAAAAAGAAAATATAGCATAAGACAGAGAAAATGATTGACCATAAAAAATTATACAATGCCCACTAAAAATCATAAACTGTTTCTACCTGCAGAAACGCACCTATACCTGATACGTAGCACGTTCTATATGTATAATAATAATAATAGCAATAATAATAATAATAAGAAGATGATAATGAATGAAATATTGATTTGATTGGGCACATGCGGCGGTAACGGTACCGCCTGTCCAAGAGGCTTTTATTCGCTATTTACTATTAGCTGTCCCTTCTCGAAATCTTCTTCCATTGAGCGTCCCGCTGAACGTGATACACAGCTTAGCTTCCCTTAGCATGCACTCTTTCACTGTATGCAGCTGACACTACCCGTTCCCCTTCTGGGCCTTTTTATTTTATGGTTTTTGATACCCCTGAACCGGTGTATGCCCGCGCCATTACCGTTTCTGGCGCCACTCCAACTGCTACAGTGCTTCGCCGCTATCTACTATATCATGATACTGCGCGCTTAGTCCTGTGGGCGCGGCGACCGACCACCGACACGACCAACATGACTGTGCGATTTGGAGCTCAGGAAGAGATGTAGTATTTTCGCCGGTCTTCCGATCCGCTGGTCCTGTTTCCATCGTTTCCGTCCAGAGTCAAACCATACCCCATTGTAAACGGGAATTGGGGCTACCGCTAATCCCAAGTCTAAAGGCCAGAGCCCCTTATACTCCCTAGCCCCTTCACCTTGAACGAAAAAGTTCGGTTTTCAGACCTGCGCTCTGAACGCTTATACGCCGCCAACCGCCATTTTGTTCAGTCGTAAATCCCCGTCGGAGTAGCGATGTCATTGCTGTTGCCGACATAGCGTGTCTCTGCAAAGGCGGCAATCGTCGTAGTTGTGGTGGTGGTGATCGCTGCAGCGCTGGCGAAGGCGTCGTTCTTTGCTCCGCGTTCGCTTGCTGGCTAGCTTCATCAATGAAAAAAAAACGAAGCTGAAGTAAGGGGAAGTAAGGTAAAAGGAAGCAAATTTATTTCGGTCGAACGCTAACCCTGCTCTGGTGGGACTACTACGACAAGAACAAACATACAAGGAGAATACGGATTGGCTTTTAGCCCATCGGCGTGACCATTGTGTCAACTTCAGAAACAGGTGACGTCTGGGGAGATTTTTCATGCGAATAACATGCTCGCTTGAGCGGCCAGCCTGGCCGCGTTGAGTTGGGTAAGAGGCGAATTCGAGCACAGAGAACAGAAAGAGGAAAAAAGACACGCCAGCTAGGCGCAAGCCTGTGAGCAAACAGAATAAACAGAACAAGCTAAGAGTGGGATAGCTGGACAGTCGGGTTGCGGTTGGGGCAGCCACCGCCATCGCCCAACTGATGCGAACGGAACCCGGCATCACCTTGTGCTGCAACGCCCAAGTTCTTGCTTCGGCTGCTTGTTGCCGTGTTGCACAGAGGGAACATGGAAAAGCTCGTGGAGGTGGAGGCCACGGCGACTTCGGGCCGTTCGGCAGTCGTCGAAAAACAAAAGATAAAAATGAAAGATACTGAAATTGATGGACAGACACACACACGCGCACGCGCGCTTTATATCTATAGGATCCCATTCGAGGGCGCACGTAGAGACGAAGAAGAAGTTTGAGTTACCAGCCACCGCTCATTTGGGCGCTAGTTCAACGAGGTTTACTTTTCCTTATCGATACGAAACCATTTGGTGTTGAGCTACGAAAAGCATGCATGGGTTTTTAAGCTTGGAATGAAACTGGTTGTAACATAGATTGTGCAGTTGTTTCTTGCTGATAACTTCGTAAAGCTTAAGAAATGACGAAGTAATGATCAGATTAACTAAGGAAAATGTGCTTTTCAGCACTATGGACGATTTTTAATTTTGTGTCTTTCCGAAGATAACTCCTTTGGCGGACAAGGCCCAGATCGACCTTTGTCATGTATTTAAAATGACTTCAAAAGCTTTATATTAAATGAGTCAAAAAATACATTTGTTGTCTGTGTCAATAGCGAATAAGCGCACATTTGAAACAATGCCGGGAATTATACACTCGACCGCTATCAACGTTCCTTTGTCACGAGAAGTCTTAACCTTATCGTAATTTGAGATTAAGGCGTACGCAGTATCCGGCGCACGCGCGCATGCCCCGCGGCTAATACGTAAGGCTTCGAGAGCCTTTTAGAAACCCACTCTTTAATAGGTAGAACCTTAGTACTGGTTCTATGCAATGAATAATAAAATGCTAAAAAGACGTTTTTACTATGCGAATGGCTTCAACCATTAATAGCTAATGTGATATTACTAGCACTCAAAATAACCCTACTTACAAACTTTTTTAAGTTTATTTCTATTACTACAGCTACTAGTTCCAGCTGTTTTGTAGGAGGAACTATGCAGCCGACAATGACTGTGTGTGTTTTGAATAGTACACATTGGTTAACCTATTCAGGAAAACTTTGTATGCGACCATTGTTCATAGTTTAGAACCTTCAATGCCTTTAAGTTATCTCAGTTTGTAATAAACAAAGCTCTTGAAAATGACAGGGCTAAGTCAAAGACATGAAGAAAGCTTATAAACATGAGCTTTCCTCTCAAAGAAAGTGCAATCCTATTCTCTACGGCCAAGTATGTCAGCGAAATGGACTAAGGCCCTTTGCTCTATAGAACTAGACAAAACGATATTTGATTTTAATCAACCTGAGCAAAGCGCTTAACTATGTATAACCATACAACAGTTTGATTGTTTTAAGCCTAAAGCACGCTCGTGATGCAACAGCTAGTGATGCTTAAATGATATAACAGACAGAACTTAAATAAATATTGTACGGGGTACCAGCTTCATCGAATCGCTTTGTAGATACAAGGTACAAATGGTTTTGCGCACAGAATAGCACTACATATAACCGAATATATAGTATATCAATTCTATGATAAGTCTATAAGCATTCAGTATCCAGCTTTCTTCTGTCGGCAAAAAGGGTTACGTTAATTCTACACTCAGATATATATTTCATGTATCCCGAGTAACCGTAGGCTGGTTTTGAAAGCTTTACTTGAAACCATATCGGATTCTCATCCCCAATGTGAATATTAAAACGGCTCAATTTAAGTCGGTGTTCGTCAGTGTCTTCCATCAGTATCGTTCTCCCGTTTCTGTGCAACAAAAAAAAAACTACCCCGATGGAACTGGCAAAGAACAAAGTTCACTTCTATTTAAAACGAACTTCCCTATGCTACCACTGCCCGTGCAAAGGGAAGTCTAACTTGAACATCGGGTAGCATTTCAGTTGTACTACTTTCGACATACTCATCCTATTTATATAGATTTCGTTCACTCAGGGCACTTAGAGACAGATCCTGGCCGTATGATTAGACTGTGTAATTTTCCAGTTTGGTCGATCGGTCGATCGGTTTGACCTAGACTGGCCCGCCTTATTTGCCACAACGCCCACAGTCTACACAATAATTTCATGTCGATAGTCGATGATGGCGTCACTGGCCATAGCGTACGTTGAGTAGAGCCAATAATCGCGTCGATCCCAACGACCGATCTTTCTTCTGCTACGATCTCGTCGCTCCAACCTTTTTCATCCGTTCTTCTTCTGTGTCTTCAAGCAAACCTATTGCTCGGAGGCCGTTACAAAACGCGTCTGTCTGGCCAGTTTGCAAGAAATGATAGTAAAAAACGGAATTTAGAAATCGTAGATCATCCTTTATGTTGGAATAGATAGTCCCGATTGTGGCTTGAGGGAGTCTCAAGCGCAGACAACCAACTGAAAGGAAGTACTAGTCCGAGAAAGCCCACAGCATTCTACGAGCATTGTAATGCATCGCACAAGTTATCTTTCAAAAAGGACATGCGAAAGACACGCAGACAGAACACAACGTAATTCCTCCGTTTGCTCACCACTCTCGGCATGACCAGCCGGCGGCAGACAAGGTGCGCCTTCACGCCGCTTTTTCGGCGTGACCGCTGTCCTTGGTTCTCTTCCTTCCAAAGTCTCGTTTTTCTTTCCCTTCGCTTGGTTACGCACTTCTTCTCCCTCAGCCGCGACTCCTTCTTGTCGCTGTGGACCCAAATGGTTTTTCGGTAACGTGCTAATAATCGATTTGGACTAGTAGCCGCTGTAGCTTTGCCAACGCTGCGCTGCCTTAAGAACAGACTCTCACCTTTGGATTGCCGCTATTCGACCCCTCCAGATGCATTCGCTGCTTCAAGCTTTCTTACGATTTTTGCCCTTCTCGTTGTGTTCTTACGAAAATGGATCGACTGGCAATGGCTGCTAACTACGCATGAAAAACACTTCAAGATGGAAACGCACCGTCTACAGCCGACACCCCAGGGACCAATTGAGGGGTTTTTTACGTGGACGTTAAGCGCTTGAACGTAACGAATTAGTTCAAGGATGAGTTATGTTTGAACGCTGCCGACAGAATAGCACGTCAACGAATCATTAGTACCAGCTTTCATACATTTACTTTGCGACTAGGGCGTGACAAACACTGACTTTCAAGTGACCTAAACCTTAGGGTGAGTTTTCGCTAAATTCATACTAACGCTGTATAGTGAATTTAGGGAAAACGTATGTAAATTTTTGCTCCTCAAGAACGGCGAGGAGCTTATATTATTTCAGTTCTTTACTTTGTTCACGATTCATATGAAAATACTAGTATTTCAATGTGGCCTAGCTACAAGTCGGTAGACACGAAAAGGCGCACTATTAGTCTGAAATGAGTGGTTCCATTGAGACAGTTCTTATTGTAGCGGGTTCCATATTTTTTAACACATTTTATTTCAAACTCTTTTAAAAACTAAATCATTTTACCGGTGGCAAACGGCAAATATTTCAGAGGAATTTTGTAGTACTAGCGGGATATATTATGAATTCTGCAGTCTGTCACTACGATTAGCCAGATTTACACAACTTTAAAATATCGCAG